AATTAAAATCATATTTTAATTTTTATTGTTCTTTACCTCTTTGCCATTTATAAACCATGTTATGTAAGGAACTGGATATGCGGCCGAGGAGGTACAATTTGCCTCCAGACTCTCACCAACCACATACATGCTTTTTTGAAATGTAATCTTAGGATTCGCACTCTGTGGATCTAGAAGAAATTATACAAAGTATATCAGAGAGACACTCGATGCAATTTAATATATATAACTAATAATATTATTTATATTTTAATTCGCGCACGTACACAACAAGTTCTCTATCACAAATGTGATAATAAATTCCATGTTAAAAATTTATTAAAATTCTTTCAGTTAAATCGATATCAATATCACACTTTGCTAAACTGCTATTCGTTAAAAATAATATAATCCCAAAATTATAATGATTAATATCATTAACAAGGAGATGCATAGTTTTATTTTTGTGTATTAGATTCAACACTTTCACTCACGTATCACTTTCATATCTACGGGATCAGCACCCGCAGTATAAATGGGCGTTGTCATAGCGACCTCGCAGGTATAAGAACCGGAAGCTTCGAAATGTACATCGTACAGTTTGATTGTCGTGCCATTTTCCGAATACTGAAAAAGGATAACGATATTGTAGCACTTTATGGTAATATACAGCGCGATTTTGTGTATCTGTAATTAAGTGGAAAAACTGGCAAATAAGAGCCAAGGAGCAGGTATTGATGCGCAAACTTATTATTTGCCCAGTTTTCCCACTTAATTAGTTAGTACTCTATTGCTGTTATTTATGTATGCATACGTGCATGCGTGCGTGACACGCTGTTTAATCAAGATATACTTTTTACAATTAGATTGAAAAGTACACAAGTGACAAATTCTACAGAGACAACTTAAATACGCAAATGATGTTCAAGTTACTTACGAGACACGTGTTTTTTCATATTCCGCAGCCTCTTTTTTCCTCGGATCCTTTAAATTCAATAATCAAGAAAAGAAAAGTCGTGTTTGCACAAGAGAAAACAAACAGCTTTACATCAAATTTTTTACTAGATGTGCCACTCTTTTGCTTTCAAGAATGTTTAAATTTGATAATAAAATATGTAATATATTTAAAATTGGAATAAAGGCATCAAATATCTTTCCACGAACTTGTTTTGTTAGAATTTATCACTTGTATTCCTTTCATCTAATCGGTTCAATTATATTGAATGAATGCATGAGTGACGAGAAACGCTTTGAAATGCTAGAAATTCAAATAGAGCACTTTGAATAATTTAATCCTTGCTCTGCCACTTTGTTTTAGTCTTGTTATACATCGTGAATCATCTTGTTCTTATCTCGTAAATTATCTATATACTTTTAAAGAGTACATATAATTAAATGCTATTTTGAAATGTCATAAAGATAAATATATATTATAGATAGAAAATTTTCGATAATTGTAAAATTAATATTTGTAGAAAGAAATCGAATAGATAATTCGCTTCAATTTTGGGCATTATATTATCACTTATTTAATAGTGATAATATTATTGTGATGATGATACTAGAAGTTACGTTGACATTCAATTTCGTTATTAGCTTAAATCTGATAATTCTTAGCGTTTCCATTTGTCACGTGGTTATTTTTATCTAGATTTATTACATATTATAATAATCTTAAGATACCTCAAAATAAACCTTTGGAAAGTCGCAATTTTCCGCTGTTAATACTGAAGATTTAAAGATTTCCGATAATTTATATATACGAAATATCATTGGTTACAACAATTCTTGAAAGTTTCCACAGAAATTGAAATAGAAAATTTGAAAATACACAGAAAAGAAAGAAGAATATTGTGTAACTCACAATCAGTCAATCTGTACTTTCAGCGAAAACGAAAGAAAGAGAGAGAAAGAACAGATAAAAAGGCCAAGTATAGTAAAGTATAATAAAGTTTTTTTGCAAAGAAAGCATAAAAGACATTTTCAACACTTACATCGTCCGTCATCAACATCTGAGACCCTCGCAAAATGAATGTTCTATTTTTGTTACGAGGAGCCTCATTACTTATGTATGTGTCAACCTATACCCGCTAACAAGCATTCGTCTTCGTGACATTATGTTTCACACATATGGGTTAGCGCAAGTATTGATTTTCCTCTTTACTTTATCTTCTCTTTCTCTCTTTTTTTAATAGATCACCCATGTGTGTTACGCTTCCGTTGCTTGGGCATCAAAAAAATTTACGAAGGAAATTGCGCTTTCACGCGTTGCGTCTCGATGTTGTTGGGGGAGGTATTTTATATGACATAAAGTGCACACATACATAAATAGCTTTGCTTTATGTCGACACATAAAGGCTACGCCTTGGATAAATGCGTTTGCTTTACTCGCTTAAACATTAATCATAGCGAAAGATAGGGGAGGACTCTGGATACCTAACATACGTTATCGAGGGCGTTCTAGCTATTTTTGGACTTTTGTTTACAACGGACAGTTTTTCTTATAGATCGTACCGACACGATGGATATGTAAATTATATTTTCACCTGTACATCCCCGGCACGTAATAATGTCAGACGATAAGTTAAAAAAAAAAAACATCGTTTCATTACGTAAACAAGAATGTGATATAAGAAAAAATATAATATGCAAGCACATATAAAATATATTTAATACTTAATAAACTAAGAGAAACTAAGTCTAAGCCTTTGTCTCTGTTTTGTAAACATTATTGCATTATGTAATTATCAATATTTAAAGACTTAATAAAGCAAAGCAGTAAAAACAAGATGGGATACGTCTAAATTTAAATATTAAATAGATAACGCACGCACGCAAGCTATAAAAATTAAAATAAGTTCAAAATTAAGCAATATCATTTATGGAGATCTAAGAATAGGATTTATAATATATTTCAAAAGATTTGTTCATTTTAGAACAATAACTTAAGAATCATTTATATTCTTTGAATCGTATTGCAAAAAGTAAAATTGCCGAATTGTCAGAATACGCAATCGTTTAATTGGTCAAAACTTCCCATCAAGACAGATACAAATACTCAACTTCCGTTATAAAGATAGAAATTCCTTAAATATTCACGTTTTAAACGATGCTATAGATATAGATATATTTGACTGTGGATAAATTGAGAAGGAAAGGTCAATGCACATTTCAGTCGTGCAAATGTGGGGTAAACTTTATGCAAAAGTGTTATCAAACCTGCATGCCTGTTACAATGTGAGATACGCTTTTGAGATAATTATGGACTTCAAAGTATATATCGAGTATTATAATATCCAACAATATTTATGAGTGGTAAAGAATCAGATAAACTAGGCATAAAGTGAATTTATATTAATAAAATTAACCATTAGACTTTTTTGCTAACACTAAAATTTACCCAAACATTATACGATCTTTTTTTCATCGCGTGGAAATAAATAAGTTATATTATCTTTTATCCTTCTTTTGTAAGACTGTCGTTTGTAAACAATTCACACGCTCTTCGAAAAATAATGGCAAATATAATAAAAATAAATAAAAAAGATAGAATAAAAAGAAATTCTCAAGAGCTTGTGCACTAACAAAATATGTGTCTTAAAAATCGTAACTCTTCGTGTATTATTTTTCGCTCACCTCCAGACTCTTGGCGCCATCGATATGTGGCGATATGATATATGGCGGTTTTCTTTCTTTTATATATTGAAATATCCTCTTGTCGTCCTTCATAAATTCTATTTTGTGCAGCAAGTCATCCCGGACAGTATGGTTGCAGAAGAAAGTAGCCGTTTCGCCATATGTTATGTACTTTGGCGCAATCAACTGGACCCTCATGTGGTCCGCTAGAGTCGTGACTGGAAATCATGCAATC